AATAATCTCAGATTTAATTAAACTTCCAAAACTAGTGCAACCATAATAACCAAAATAATCAAAGAATACTTTCAATTCAAAATAATCGGATTTAAAAATTAATAATAATTAGTATTATCATAAGAATCCTAATCAACTGATATATCAATTTTTATTTGAACATTTTATAATTAGATAATTAAAGATAGCTTAATGTATTAAGGTTCATTTTTAGAACTTAGTAGGTATAACAGAATAAATATAAATGAAGCTAAGTAAGGAATCTGGAATTAAATTCAAATGATATATCAAATATAAATTTTTTCAACAAAATTAATGGATTTTTTAATGAATTATCTCAGATCATATGGATTAAGTTGATTAATAAAGTTTAAATAATAATAATAAATATTTTTAAAGGGCTATAATATTTAGCTTTTTTCTCTCAACTTAATTACTTGTACTTAAGAATAGAGAGAAATCATTTTAGACTTGGCTAGAGTTTATAAAATTAAAGATAAGAAAATTCACTATTACAATACATTATTTAATTCACAGGAAAAATCATGCTTATATCAAACATAAAGAATTAGATTAAATCCATATTTAGTAGCAGTCAATTTTCATTAAACAGATAACATTAATACAACTAAATCAAGACAAACTTTAATAATTTATAGTTTTCTATTTATACTATATTATTTTAATCAGTAATCGTAAATGAATTCCTGTAATTTCTAGTTCCTATTTAAATCCATTTCCACCCACTCCAATATCTTAGCTCCCTTACAGAACATCTCCCATTTACCATTTTTTTTGCCGTTATTATAATTACTGATGTAAATTATTTGTGATTTCTCCCCAAATCCATCCCCTAATTCAACCTACCTCCATTATCATATTTTCCACCACCACTAAATTAATGATATAACATTTATATTTACATAATTTCTTACTTATAAAAATTATTCCATTCCCCAACTTTTTACGCTTCTCATATTCCCCACAATATGTTATTTAAGATTTCTCCAAAAACCCCTCTCTAAGTTCAATCCATTACCCAATCTTAATTTCTGAATCTCCTAGATCATATTATCCACCTCCTGTAATAATTATTAATAATCTTTTTAGCTTTACATTTTTTTATTTTAGCTATCAACCCCCATCTTCAATAAAATTTCCCATTTACCAACTTTTTGCCTTTTTTATATTCACCATTATAAATTGCAAATGATTTCTCCCAAAATCCAGGCCAAAATTCTCTCCAGATTCCAGATTTTTCTCCAAAATCATTATATTCTCCCTGACAGCTAATGTATTTATATTTTTCATACACTTATTATTCTTTATAAAACTATTTCCAGGTTCCTTTTATCTAGTCATATTTATACTCTCCAAATTCATATGCCTATGCTTTGCTATTAACTAAGAACTATTAACTTACCTCCAATAATTTGAAATTATTTCTTTCCATTTGCCTTATTTTTTCCCATCATTTGTGTAACATTTTTTTAATTTGAATTTCAGTTTGTGATTGAATTTATTTCAAGCTCTTTTTCAATTATGTTAACTCAGAATTTCCATCTAACTTAAATTCTTAAGATTTTTTGGTCACCAATTCTCGAAATTTACTTATAGGGACTGTGTATCCGATCTGCTTTATGCTCAAATTGGCATTCAACACAAAATTTCCTTTAACATTTGTGTTGGGCTAGACAGATCAAAGATATTGGAGTTGAAGGATGAAAATTGCAAAACATATTATTTAAATAATAATCAGAAGTAAAAAATAAGAATCTTCACATTAAAACTAACTCTTTTTGGTTTTATAAATCCTAATAAAATTTGTTATATTGCAGAATGAAAATAAAGCTTAATATTAAAAATGGGATCACAAAAAGATCTTATTAAGTTGGATAAGTTTTATACAATTAAGGCGCCTTGGTAATTGATTAAGTTCAATAAATTTTATCATTCTATACAAATTTGTATCAAAATTAAGATTAAAAATTGATGCTAGTTTCATTTTGTTTTAAACAATTATATTTGATATGTGAAATCATATTAATTTGATTTCCAGATAATTAGATATTGCATTTATCATCTTTTGTCAGCCCTCGCTATAGGTGAGAACCCTTACAAATTCAAAGAATGCCACTAGACTAATTTATTTATTCTTTGATTTATTCCATTTTTCGGAAATTAATTGAACTTGAAATAACCCTTACCAGAAATACAAGTGATTATTTTAAATTTTATAATCGAAATGATTTCAAAAATCATAATCTGAAATCCACCAATCTATTTTAAGGATAAAATTATATAATTTAATTATGATCATAATTCTTTGTTTCAGAAATTTTACTTATTTAACATTTTGTATCCCATAATTTGTTTATATATGCTTATTTGTTATTATCCAAAAGCAAGTGTGAATTTCCAAATTTAATTTTATGCTGGTTCTGCAATCTTGTTTAGATTAATCTATTTGCTCCATACATGTAGTTAATGGAATGTGGCGGATTAACTGTTTAAGGGACATGTAAATTCTGAAGTTTATCAATAACATTTATGTTCTCTTATTAAGAAATTAAAATAACATCATGAAGAATAACAATTTGTATTAATTCTGGACTATTCACCTATTCATAAGAGCAAAAGTGTTAGGAAGCTTTTGATTGCAGTTAGGAATTTTAGGCACCAAACTCACCTAAATTTGAATCCAATTGAGAAATTATGGCATCTACTCAGATAACCCATTTATGAGGATACAAACATTGCTCACCAGATATTGATAAATTAATTCGCTAGTATTTTGTAAAATTTTGAGGATATGAGATAGAGAAACTAATTCAATGATCCCTAGAATTAGGCTGGTATTTCTTAAGTAAGAGATATGATTGTGTGATTTAGATTGTTATTTAACATTAAATTTGGATTCTTTTTGATGAGATGAAAAATGGATGATGGAAGAGACATTTTTGTTAGACAACTATGAGACTTAGAGAATTTAAGAGAAGTTGAGAAAGAGAAACGAACCATCTTCAGTGCTGAAGTAAGCTTCTTATGCAGGGAATTAGGTTTGGATGTCTTGCTGGTACAGTCGAATCCTGCTTGAGCTAGTGTTGGAATGGGTCTAACTTCATAGAGGCAAACTGAAGAGGGCTATCCTGGGATCGCCTTAGGGACTGCTCTTACAAGCCTCATTCAAAGGTCATGTGAGGAAAAACATTCTAGAATTGGGATAATTCCAAACAACTACAATGAGAATGAACTGAAAAATATGAATTGATTTTACACATCATAGTTTGGCATATATATGTTCAGAATGATTGATAGGGATGACGAGATTTGAGAATATTATTATGAAT